GCGAGGATGTCTTGGGCGAAACGGGCCAGAGCACCTCAAGTATCTCGGAGCAAGGGGGTCCGAGGATGTCTCAGGCGACACGGGCCTGAGCACCTCAACAACCACATCTTGAAAGCCAGAATTGTTAAAATGTCTCAGGGGAAACGGGCCAGAGCATCTCAAGTCAAGGCATCTCGGGGCCCAGGGTTCCGAGGATGTCTGGAGTAAAACGGGACAAATCCTCCGTGGGCCATGCGGCTCGCCGAGCTCTTTTGAAGGCAACCCCTTCCTGGCACCTCCCGGCATCGCCGTTGGGGTTGCCGGGGTCACCCAGGACTGCCTCCCGGCGACCCAGGCATTCGGGCGCAGGTGCCCTGCCCCCCCCCCGCCAGCTAAGAGAAGCCCCACAGCAAGCAAAAGTGACCAGCGAGGACCATGCAGCTCTGACAACACATACACACACACACACACACCTCCTAAAACAAACGGGCCGTTCGAAGGCCCTCCCCAGACATATAGTACAACAATACGAATAATAGTAATTGTAACCGTAGTGAGAGTAATAACAATGACAATGTCAGTAGCAACAACAATAACAGTAACCATAATGATCATAATGAGAACATGGGTAAGCATGATTGTAAAAAACAATGATAACAGCTACCACAATCACAGTATCAATAAGAGTAATCATACTACTAATTTAAAACATGAAACGATAACCATAAAAAGATAATCATAACAAATAATAATAAGAATAACAATGCCAACAACAACAATAATGCAAATAATAACGAAAATAAGAATAGTCATAACAAAACTAAGAATAATAGTAAGAGTAGTAGTGATAGTAATAACGGCAATAACAAATAGCAGTAATGATAATGATGACAATGATTAAACCATGATGATGACTAGAATTCTAATATGTACATGTTGCATCCTCGCCATTCGCTACCGATCGGCTCCTGACGTCTCAAGATGGCCCTGGGATCGTCCAATACAAAGACCCACAAGTGGCCCGTGAAGGCGCCAAGAAGACCCCAAGAATGCCCAAACATGCCCCTAGAGAGCTAAAAAGTACGGCTTGTCGGCCCCGGCGCACCCCTTTTTGTCACCGATGTCCTCCAAGATGGCTCCAAGAGGGCCCTGAAGGCCCCCAGACAGACCTCTAAGAGGGACCCAAGATGGCTCCAAGAGGCCTCCAAGAGGCTCCCAGATCGAAAGACCCACGACGGCCCTCATGGATGACTCTTGTCGTCGTCGGCGCCGTCCTCATCCCCAAACCTCATCCCCACAACCTCATCCTCCTCCTTATCCTCATCCTCCTTCTCCTACTCCTCCTGCTCCTCCCACCTCGAGCGCAACTGGAAATTGAGAGGGAACGAGTTCCGTCAAATTTCTCGTCCTTCTGCTCGCCCTCCTCCCTCTCTTCCGCCTCCTCCTCCTCCTCGTCCTCCTCGTCCTCCTCCTCCTCCTCCTTCCCTCCTCCTCCTCCTCCTCATCCTCCTCCTCCTCGTCCTCCTCCTCCTCCTCCTCCATCTCTCTTCCTTCTAAGCTCGCCGGCCCACGGGCCAAAGGCGTGCTAGAATACCCGTTTCTCATTTCGGGGAGAGACCCACTCGGTTTGAAAGTGCTCGAAAAACAGAACACTTGAAAGATCGGAATACCTTTCAATCCGACGGGTCCAGGTTGATAGCTCGCAATATTGCAACATCCGGAAGATCCAGTTTAAAGATTTGTAGATTGAATATTTCAAAAGGGCAATCCCCGTTTGAAATAATACAAGATCATTCAATCCGGAAGGTCGTGATTGACAAAGTTGAATATTGAAGAATTTGTCAATCTGCAGGTTCCAGACTACATGATTGAAAGGTTGAAAAATGCTCCACAGGTTGATGCGTCGCTTCTTCCAGTGCGTTACTCGTATTTCCGCTTTCTGGCGTCGTGGCAACGCATCGGGCCACAAAAGGTTCCTAGAACAGAGTTTTTGGTAGGGCCATAGGCGAGCCAGGGCGCTTCGCCACTGCTTGAAAGGGGGGGGGAGGCCAAGTCAGGGTGGCGAGGGGACCCGCGAGGCGCCAGGCGCACGCGCGCCTCGAAGACGCCGCCCTCCGCTCAGATCCCCGCCATCGCCCGGGTCCCCGTCGGCCCCGTGGGCTGCTCGGCCTTGCGTGGGCCTTGACGTGTCTCTTGCCGCCCGGGTGATCCGAAGGGTGATCCAGGCTGTGCTCAGGGCACGGTGGCGGCTTGAAAGACAGAAGGAATGCAGAATGGATTGCTTCCCTCCCGGGCGCGGCTCTCGGGAACCGCCAACGCCCGAGGATCGCTCCGAGAAGGCCCAGGCCCGGCGACCCCGGGCCAGGAGCGCTCCAGGGCGGCCCACGAGGGCCTCGAGACAGCCCAAGAGGGCTCCGAGACGCCCGGCATCGGCCCTCCTCCTCCTCCTCCTCCTCCTCCTCCTCCTCCTCCCCCTCCTCCTCCTCCTCCTCCTTCTCCTCCCCCTCCTCCTCGGGCTCCAGGAGCACACTCGGAGGGCCCC